AGCCCTTATTAAGGTCTACATGATGCATATAGTCTCAATTTGAAAAAAATTACTTAGTGGACTTCCTTCATCAGATTGAAAAATTTGATTTGAAATTAGGACTTAGGTGTGCGGATCTGATCGACCGAATTTCGATTGAAAAACTTCAAAATCCGACAGGTTCTATTCTTCGAATCATGAAATATATATATGACTTAGAAATCTTTTTGATTTATTTTCTTGTTAAATTTATAATTCAATCGTTAAAATTCATTGAAGAACAAGAACACTTTATCAATCAGCTATCTTGAAATAAGAGCTCTTATTCGAGAACAATTTCGTTAGTTTGATATCTTTTATCTAAAAGTAATATTACTTTCACTTCTGTACAAAAAAGTCAACTTCAATCAAAATTCTATCAAATGATCATTAGAATATTCTGTACTCGCAAATAATCTATTAGAGTGGATGTATATCACAACAAAGTTAATATATGATCGCATGAATGACGCGAGACAAGTATACAGTTAGTGACCTATTCATGGTTGATAGCGTCGACATTTAAACATCATAACTTTTATAGTGTGTCTATTGAACAACTTCACTATTCAAATTGTAAAAAAAAAAAAAAAAGAAAATTGATATTTTGTCTTTCGACATTTTCATTATACTAAATGATCTATTTCTATTACCTGGTGCATCATAATCAAATGATGTATTTGTTCGTAATACAGCTGTTCGAGTTGTACTCGTTTGTGTTAATTGTTGCATATAAAATTGTGAATAAGCTGTATTTCTTAAACCACTCACTTTAATAGAAAAAAAAAAGAATGTATTTTTTTCTTTCTAAATCTTCAATTAAAATCAAATTTTACCTGTTGTTCTTGATTGTTCCGATGGAAATGATATTGATATTTGTCCATTTTCACCTCGATCATCATCAAATACCGTTAATGTTGTTATATTAGCACCAATTATATTACTTTCATAAAATGAAATAGTTGAACCACATATTTGATTTAAAAATTGTGGTGATCGTTTATTAACAGCTGTAACATTAATTGTTATTATTGTTGTTGTTGAAAATCTTGGACATGGTGAACGTGCTGGTAAACATGATGTACCATCATCACTTGCTGTTACACTAACAAAATATTGTGATGCTGGTGATGATTGAAATGTTTGTTGTAATTGTAAAACACCAGTTAATGAATCAATTGAAAATTGACTACTACTTATTGAATAAATAATTCCATCATTATCAGCATCACTTGCATAAACAGTACCAAAACGTGTACCAATAATAGCTGTTTCACTTATAGAAAATATTTGATTTGATGGTATAAATATAGGTGCATGAACATTATAATTTTCTAAATTTATTTGAACAATTGCTGTTGAACTTACTAATGGTCGATTTGGATATGTTTGTGTGGCAATAAGATTAAATAAATAACGATTATAAGGTGAAAAGTAATTTAATGGACTAGAAAAAAAAAAAGGAATGATGATAGATCTCTTTTTTTTTTTTTTTTATGTAGTTATTTAACCTTGTTTATGACTTACAATGTATTAGTAACAAGGGCATAAGAACCATTTGATAAACTAGTAACAATAAAACTTGGATCATTTGATGTAACTGTTATAATTCCTGGTGTTATATTAAGTGCACGTCCAGTAACTGATGTTGAAATAAAACTTGGTCGTGTATAATTTGTTTGTGGTTGAACATTAAATGTAAATACATTTGTACCAATTGGTGATAAGACAGAAAAATTTGATGTTGTTATTGTATAAACAGATTGATCGAATAATGGACCAGCAAAATTAACATTATTAAAAAAATCTGGTATATCATTTTGACATATTTGTTCCGTAATTAAATTGGACTGGATTATATTAAGAAATATAAAATAGTGAAACAATAAACATTGATGATGTTTCTTAGAACAGACCATTATATATCTAAAAATTAGATTTCGAGTTTGGACAAACATACTTTGTAGTTTTCTTGTAAAGTAAATATTTTTAAAAAGAAAATTTTATATTTAAAAACACTGTGATAACTCATTTGTCCATTTTCTTTTTGTTGAACATGAAAGAATAAAAAAACATAAATTGATTGAATGAAATCAATCTGGAGAAGTTGTGATGTGTTGAAAAAATTAGAGTAAGATAGTGAATATTGCTGTCTAGTATCAACATCCAAGTCGGACAATTATAGTCATAAATGAGTCTGCTTTTATTACCTATCATGCATTGATTTAAGGTTATTGCCAATGAAGAGTAACGTTGGGACATAAAGAATAATTCTTTCAGTATTTTGAATATAGCTCGACAGGAGTACAAACTAAAAGGACATCATTTCTTTTTAAAAGATGCATCTTTTAATTCTCTACAATCTTCTAGTATTCGAGCGGTTTAAATAGCGTTCATTACTTAAGAATCCTCAACTTTCAAAAACTAATTTTATGTTAAAGCGCTGATTTATACACTTTGATCCTTGAGCTGGTGTTTCTACCGATACTTTACCGAATTTCAACGGACAATTAGCAAAAACATGTTAATTAATAAAATCTTTTAAAAGTTTCACAACTTAACAATATTCCATAAATGATTGTTATTCTTAAAACTATCGCTTGTCATATCAGAAATTACTAGTAAATGTTCATCTCAGTATCTTGAAACTATCAGCGACTGATCAAGACCTTCATCTCAATTTTCGAATTGGCACATCAGATACTTACAATTTCTTATATGAGTAACGTTAGCATCAAGAAAAGCTTTTGAAATATAATATATATAAGTAAACGAACGACTTAATATTGAAATATAAAACTTTTTTTATTTTACCAGCAGCGAAAATGTTTTGTAATTGGCAATATCAGCTAAGAACGACTATCGAAAATGACAGAATTTACTTTTGCAGTTTTTCTGCGAAAGTAAATTCTATATAGACTATCTTAATGATGGAACCAACTGATATTGTGCAATTACGTTGGCACTATTACATAGTGATACATACAACACAACCATTGAATGTTTTTCGTTTTTCGTATAGTATACATATAGGCTGTTTATAACTAGCAAACTATTGATTTTACTATACGATGACATCATCATACATTCTTTTCTTTTTATCTTCCATCTATATGATATAGATCGAAAACAACTTGTAAAAGTGAATTCTATCATTTTCGATAGTCTTTCTTAGCTGATATTGTCAATTACAAAACATTTTCGCTGCTGGTAAAATAAAAAAACTTTTATATTTCAATATTAAGTCGTTCATTTACTTATATATATTATATTTCAAAATAACTATGGCAGCATATATGGACGTATTTCGATACTAAGTAAAGGATTATTTTCGATCTATCTCGTATAGATGGAAGATAAAAAGAAAAAGAAAATATAATGATGTCATCGTATAGTAAAATTAATAGTTTGCTAGTTATAAACAGCCTATATGGGTGAGGGTGTGGGTGTGGGTGGGGTGTGGGGTGTGGGGTGGGGTGTGAATGTGGGTGTGGGTGTGGGTGTGGGCCTATCTCTTCTATCCACCCACACTCACATTCACACACCATGCAAAAAAAATATGTAAAAAAATCAGTTTTAATAATCAAAAAATCGGTTAAAAATGGATTTTAATCATACACCTTTAATCAATAGTTTAAGCAGAAATAATCACAACAAAATCAGATGATAATCGGTTATTTCAAATATCAGGATTATAATCGATTTGACAAAATTTATAAAAATGGATTAGAATCATGATATCTGAAATAATCGATTATCATCTGATTTTGTTGTGATTATTACTGCTTAAGCTATTGATTAAAGGTGTATGATTAAAATCGATTTTTAATCGATTTTTTGATTATTTTTTTTTACATGGGACCCACACCTTTAATTTTTTTATTCAAAAATGATTAAACAAACAGTTTTTCAGACTTCTTCGATCAATATCGGTAGAAAAGAACCATTTGACAAATGAGAATTTTGTATTCTTTTTCATATAAAGAAATTCTATCGCATCTATCAATTTCACCCGAAAATAAAAATTCGATTTTTAATTCCAAAATTTATTAATCGAGGATTTCTCTTAATTTACTTATGTCAATATCCTTCAAAATGAATGATTTTTAGTTGTTAGAATTTTTGACCATTTTCAAATGAATGAATTCTAATTCATTTTTGGATTTCAGTTCTGAATAAGAAACGATCAAACTTTTATTCCATGATTATTAAAAGAACATTTTTCAGATGTCTTATTTCAATATCTTGGATTTTCACAACTGACACTTTGCGCATTTATTCACATGAAAGAAGTCTGCTTCTTATTCCTAAGTAAAATATCGTAAATGTTAGCAGAGTTGTCTAAAACAGTTTTGTTCAAGTTTCAAAATTAGTTGAAATGTTCATGTTGTTTAAAACTAATCTGACTAACAATAATATTATGAAATATTTCATCATTAGAGAATCAATTTAAAATAAATCTGCAATAAAATAATTTATCAGATTCTTCGACTTGTAAATTTTCGACGCATTAAAAAATTGTGAATTCGAGAAACAAATGAATGAGTGGGAATATTTAAAAAGCAAATAACATTTTTTGCTTTGACTAAATACAAAATATTATTTCGTTAATTTCTTCGGTTATGGTAATAGTCCCTTTAAATATATTTTATTTTCTTCATGGAGACTTATCTGATCAATTTATATCTTAGAATTTCTTCATTTTTATTTATTTACTGATCATTTCTTCTTTTTCTTACTTATATGCTTTAAAAAGTTAATTTTATATTGATTTATTGTAATCCAATGAATTGTAATGAATTTTGTTTTTGTCAAAACTAAAAACGACTTAAAACAAAGAACAAAAATATTAATTAAAGATGCTTACTGTGACCAATATATGTCATCTGCAGTTTGTTTTCTTACACAAGATATGTATGAAAATAAAATACGGTTCTACGAGCAATTCTTTTTCTGTTTTTTTAGAAATATTCGATTTTTATCGGATAGTGAGTAACACTACGATTTTAATGAAAAGCACGATGCTACATAAATATCGTATCGAAAACTCTCGCTAAAAAACTATTATTTCACTTCAGTTGTGGAGATATCGAAAACGCCTTTCGTAACAACATTGTCGCACACCTCGATGTCCTAGTGTTTTACTGTTCAGGATATACTCGTCATATGGAAAAAAAATAAATGTGCAATACATACCAATTTTATTCATTGCAATCTTTAATATATTTAAATTTTCAATGCATAATCAAAGGACATGCCATCCGAGAAATTTAAGAAACTTAATAGCTATAGCAGACAACTTGATCTGTCAGTCGAATTGATTATTGTCGTCATTTTTTCTTCTGTTTTTATATCCATCAACAACTTAAGAGCAATAAGATAAAGAAAGCGATTGATGTTGCTAATTGACTACGTAATGATTCTCATTTCTTTCTGTTTTTTGTTCTGTAAAATCTTCTAAAAGTTTTTGTCTAATGAAATTGAATAATATGTAATTATGGAAAGATTTTTGTTTATATTTCTGTTTATTTCAACATCTTACTTGGACATTGTTGCTATATTGGCAGGATGATGCTACTAGTTCGAATCGAATCTCATCAAAGTTTAGCACTATATAGATTAGTGCCTGAGATTATCAATTTTCAATTGGAGCCCGTTAGAGGTCAATATAAGCAACATATAACAGGTGCACCAAAAAGAATGATATAATATTATTTTCAATTTTTCTTCTTTCCCATTGAACTCTCATAACTCTTTTTTTTTATCAAAAGATTATCAGTTAATTTCTCTACCAAATGGTACATACAAGATGGCTCGAATATTTATACGCTTTCCTAGCTTAACGAACATTGAAATGTTCAAAAAATGAAATCTTTTCTGACGACAATTTGGAATTTGAGAATAGATATGCAATGTGGGTGTGGGTTGTCCAGCTATTCGATGTAATCGTACTTCTCACCAACCTAATCCCATTCTGACACCCTTCTTTTCCTTTCCTTTGATAGTCGGAAGAAAGAAGACGATTAGCATGCTGATCAGTTTCTCCAGTATTATTGCCTTGCCGTCCTACTAAAAGAGAAGAAAAAGAAAAAAGAGAAAAATTTTCAAAATCATATTTATATGTATAAAAATATATAGGTATCTCAAAGTATGTCATAGCTTTATACTATGTCTGAGAAAGGAATCTTCGACTCGGAACGGTTACATTAATAAATAAATTAAAAAACGTTCACAGAAAAGAAGAAAATTCCCCTTAATGTACTATGTACTTCCTTATTTAGCGATAACAATTCATCTTCATTTTTTGCTATAGACATTGAACATACTGCAATTACAACAAAATCAAATCGGGGATAAAGGAGCACAAGGTCTCGCAGACGAACTAAAAGACAATAGAGTAAGCGTCTTTTCCAGTTGATCTCTCTAATAATCATAAGTCGCTATACAAGTCTTTTTCGCCAGTCATTTAAGCAAATAGTCAAGGGCTTGTTCTAGGAAGTACTGCTTCTGATTAACAATGTGATTGCGCTCTCGATTAAAATATGTCTTGGAAGCACTTGTTGAGATCATTTTGTCTGTGTCCATTAAGAGTCTGTTTTAATAAACTTTTTTCAATTAGGAATAACTATGTGAGTATATAGGGAATGGATGTACTTTACTTTATTGCTGTTCACATCGAAATGGTATTTAAACTAAAGACAATCGGTGAAAAATTCAAAAGTACAATGAAAATTCTCGAAGAAAATCGTTTTATCTGAAACACTTTTTTTTTTATTATGAAGAAATTCACTTTTGTTTCGAATCGAATATCTTCATTTCTTGTATCATTATAATGATCGTTGGTTTTTATTTATGTTAAAGAATACTTATTATTTTAGTTAATATAACTTTCGCTATTGAATGTTCTATACTTTATTTT